GTCATGATTTGTCCCTATATAAATAAAATAGAATTAAACTAGGCTTCTGATTGGCCAACATTTCTGTAAAGTTGGTTAAATCATCATCTGTTGCTTTGTCATTTTGTTTAGATGTGGATGGAGATATTTTTCACAAAGTATCCTTGTAGGTGGGATGTTCGTGGGTTTTTTTTTTTGTGTTTGTTTGTTTGTTTGTTTGTTTTGGGGTTTTTTTAGAAAGTAAAGTGGATGTAACAGATGTAACTGTGGACGTAGCTTCAGGTTAGGACGGTAAACGGGCGGCTTTATACGCCGGTCACTCTTTGCTTTGAGTTTACTTCTTAAGCAAATTAAAGGCTCATTAAATATCAAATCAGAGCCACTTTTTACAGCAGGTCTCAGTTACTGTGTATATCATGTGGATTAGTTCTGCAAGACTTTGGTTTGAGCTGCCTGGTCTTTTTTTTCTGTTTTTGTTTTAAAGTTCTTGTAAACAGTAACAGAAAAGTGGATCCAACTACATGGTCACTATGTTAAGGCCACGACTGTGAAGCTGCTTTATAACTACGTGCAGCCAGAGGATTTATATAAGCAAAGTTTTCTTGTTGATCCTCATCAATACGAAGAAAACTCTGCTGCCTCTAAAACCTTAGACCCTCCTGTGCGATGAGGTCCAGAGAAGTGATCGGTCAGTAGGTGGTGGGTTTCGCTGATCTCCTCTCTCACACCTTCCTAACCCTGAAAACTTGAGCTTAAGCCTGAAGTTGCCTTGTAAAGCCCAAACCCAAACCCCGCCCCCTCCCCCTGGTATTTTCTACCAGGTTGCACAACATCTCATCATTAAAGACAATCTTGCATTCCTTCCCCACGTCAAACTTCTCAGGGTGTCAAATCTGTTGTTGTTGTTCGTGTAAATGCTGAATGGCAGTTCTGTCGAATTTCTCTGGCAACCCCTCATTTCCTGAGAGCTAAAGGTGTTCCTATCAAATCCAATCTCTAAACTAAACATCAGATGTAGATACCAGCCCGGGAGGCTTATCAGGAGATTGGTATTTATCCAGGTTCAGTCTCTGTGCCGTTCTTTGTGAGAGTTTTTATTTTTTCGAAGGTTTCCACCTCCCTCCCCTTTACCTTTTTCACATTTCCTGTCTTTATTTTCCCTCCTTTCCCTCACCGACTGTCTGTTTCTGATTTTCTCTCCCTCCTTCCTTACCTCCCCGCCCCCTCACCCTTCGCCCCCTTCACTCCCTCTCCTTCCTTCCCTCCTTCCTTTCCTCTGTCGTAGAAGGGGGGGTGGGCTAGTTGCTTCATTCTGATCACTTCTCAAGCCTCTCACATCTGGGACAGCCTGTAGCACTTCCAGCCGGTCAGCAGACACCAGCACACACACTTTCACAGCATTTTCAACTGGACAGCCAGGTCGTCTGCCTCACTCTCAGGTTTTTGACACACACACACAAAAGGTAAAAAGTTTTTCTAGCTTTCTTTTCAGCTCCAGGTTTATAGATGCGCATGCAGAGCAACTCACGGCTCTTTTGTCTTTCATGCAGGACTTCCTGTTTCCTTTTCATGTCTTTTCCTTTTGTTACCTAGCTCAGACTGTGCACACTCTGCTTGCAAGAATGCGAACATGTAGTTTAATGTCAGTGCAGATGCTGTTGGATTTAGTATAAATGTTTTTAGCGTCATTCAGAAATCGGGAGAGTCAAAGTGGCGCGTGTCCAGCATTGATGGAATTTATTGACTAAACTAAAAACAGACTGAGAGAGCAGCTAGCATCCCTCGGTGGGAGTCTCCTCTGCCAGAGCCTCAGAAATTGTGAGTCATCACAGTTTGTTGTGTGATTGTTTGTGTGGTTGGCAGTAAAAATGAGGGTTATCTTCTCTGTGGTCTCTGCTGTGTTTGAATTCTTCACCCAGCAACCTTTTCATCTCATTGCATCGGCACGATACACAAAACTAGAGCTGGTTAACTCTCGAAGTTAACCAGCAAAGCATGGATGGAAGGTTTTGTGAAATGCATGCATGCAGACTTTAATTAGATTGCATTGCAATGTTTTGCAGTAAACCATGGAGTATTAAGATTTCCTGCTGCAGAAGCCTGAAGGCAGATACTTGGTGCCCAAAGTGACGATAAAACGCCTGAAATGACAGATAAGAGCTGCGCTGACTCGTGTTTAGAACAACCTTCATAGATAAACGAGGCATCCGAGTCATAAATGACCAAAACAACAGAAAGTCCAGCAGAGTGTGTGCAGGACATGTTTTACAGTTACAGTCGGGTCAGTCCCAGGTTCTCGTAGTTCTTGTATCTCTTCATTCTCGTGCGTTAAAGATCATTGGGTGATTTATTTACTGAGTGGAAACATTTTTATTGCTAATTCATTTTCAAGCAGACACTCAACAAGTTTTCTGATTCAAGACTCTTAACATATAGAGTCTATATTTGTTTTTTGTGACATTTTTCAGTAAATAATATAAATTAATAGACTTTTTATGCTTAAATCAGTTTTTAGGCTCTTGTGGCCTGGAGGCTTAAAGCCAAACTCGTCAGGTGATTTAACAGTTGATTAATTTGCACAAACATCAGACGTATTCTAGCGTGTACTTCCTCTAAAAATGTGATGCTACACTTGTTTTGAATGGCTAACTGGACAAAAATAAGACTTGAAGCTTACCATCAGATGACTTTTTTTCCCCAGGACTTTCTTACAATAACAGAAAACTGGACTTGCACTGCACATTACAGACTTGTGCATCTGACCCACATCGACTTGTCTTTTCAGATATGAATCTTTTCTTGTTTCCTGACACAAAAACTAAATATGACAGCAGAAAGGTTTTGGATGTATAATCAGAAATGCTCTGCATTGTTTGGAAATATATTTCAGTCTTTGCATATCCAATATTTTTATGTCCATATCTT